GATCACTGTATTACCTTAGAGAGAATATTTAAATACTTGAAAGGCACAATTGACTACTGCTTGACTTACACTGGGTACCCTGATGCAATAGAAGAGTATAGTGACGCCAATTGGATCATATATTCGAACAGTGTAAAGTCTACATCTAGATATATATTCCTTTTTGGTGGTGCAGTTGTATCCTTGAAATCCTGTAAGCAAACAGTAATTGCCAGGAGTACCATGGAGTCTGAATTGATTGTACTTTATACCATTTGCACATAAGTAGAATGGTTAAAAGATGTACTCTCTGAACTGCCTTTGGTCCTACAACCCTCTCCTCTAATTTTTATTCACTCTGATTCTAGATCCACCATAGAGCTTCTAAAGAAAGTGCATGTCAATAAAAAACTTAACAGACATATTCAAATAAGATATAAATCAGTACAACACCTGCTAGGCGAAATTGTGATTCTAGACTTTGTAAATTCTGAAAAGAATCTTGCTGACCCATTGACTAAGGGTCTATCCAGGAGTGTGATTCTGGATTCATCGAGGGTGATGAGGTTAAGCCCATAGATGAGGTCACTGACAGCAGGAACCCAACATTTATTTGGAGACGCAGTCCTAATGTAGGTTCGATGTGGTACATTCTAACTTAAAAAATTCTAGAAAAAAGTTCTTGAATATATATATACTCGGTCGCCGGATAAACAATAGGTGGAAGTAAACAATATGTGGAAGTGATTTTTTTATAACTAAACAAAATTCGTAATGACTGGATAAAACCTATAATTTTTCATTGATGAATTTAAGAATTTACTTTCTTCATTAATAATAATATTTTTTTCTATATTGGTCCCTTACATCATTAATATTTTGAAATCATACATTCAAATTGCTAATTAATCTTAATCAGTAATATTTTAAGGCTTTAAACATCACTATTTCTCTGGAAGACAAAATGTTAAATCTAACAAGATTTTACACATGGAAATATAAAAAGAATTAATATATTATGATAATTATAAACTTTTCTATAACCATGTCATCGTAAATAAATAAACTTAAAGTAAATAATTAAAACATTTAAGCACGTGCAGTGCACACGCATTTGACCCAGTACTTAAAAAAGAAGGACACAAAGATTTACTGTTCATACTACAGTATATTATTGTGGTGTGAACAGTGAATCTTTGAATTCAGAGTGAAGTCACTTTTTATTCAACAGTAAATTATTATATTATGAACAATACCTTTTAAGCATAGAGCAGTATATATGATTTCTAATTTTGAGCATACAATAATCAAATCAAATGTATTAAACCTTAAAGGTGGGCATGTTCAAAATACAATGCTAAAAAAATAGGAGGTCATGCTTTGCACGGAAATGTAATTTGTTTCCTTGAAAATCTCTCTCACATCCTAAATTTGAGGGATATGGTAGTTGAGACGAGTTCCACACCCAAAAGAGTAATTTCACTTAGATAAAAAGGTTATTTTAGAAAGTATAAATAAGAAGAAAAATAGAATTTGTGATTAGTTACAACTATACAACTAATGCATGCGTCTCTATTTCCTTTTCTACCATTCTTCCTTCTTCATTTACCAACTAATCAATATTCTATATACAACTATTTTGTAAGGTTTGAGACATGCGCTCACGCTGAGATGAGGTTAAGACTTATAAAAGATGATCAAACATCTTAAGAAAATTTCCATAAGAGATGAGGAGATAAAGAACAAAAATAAATTCGATTTTTCCAACAGTTGCCCACTGGAAACGTTTTGGGAAGCTTGAGCCCTAACTGGGGTTGTTCACTTGTTCACATGTATATTGCCCATTGAAAAAGTTTTGGGAAACTTGAGCCCTTGCTGGGGTTGTTTACATACATACTAACCTCAATGGATACAAAAAAGACGAACTAATGAAAAAAAATTAGAAATCAAATTGTCAGGCTTAAAATACATTTTCTGGATCTTCGTTGAGACACAGCTAAAAACCTTTGCGGTGCACTGGTTTATTTACAACATCTATTCCTGCATCCTTGCTTCTGGTGGGCCTCAGTCAAGCATGTCGGAAAAGGTGTAGGAGGCGACGACAGAGGAGAGGTGAGGATCGGTCTAGTTCGATGAGGAAGGATATGGCAGACAGATCTCCAGAGCGGAAGAGAGAGTGGAAGGTGGGGAAGAAGGCAGATGGAGGAGAGGGGTTGGGTGGAGTTGTGGTGGTGTCCCTGGCAGCGAAGAATTGATGCAGCAAGAGAGAAAACAAAGATGGAGTAAACTGAGAACAGTTTTAGAAGAGGTTAGGAAAGTAAGTGAATAGGTTGGACAAAAATGCCCTTCCAGTTTTTTATATAGTTTTAATTTTTTTTTCAAATTAAAAATGCTAATTTGGGAGCACCGAAGCAATGCTCTGAAAGTATAAGGTTATTTGCATATATAGCCCTTACAGGGAGGATATTTGTAAAACTATCCTAAATCATAGCATTTGCAAAAGTAACTCCAAATCATCAATTTTTGGGAGAACCCCCAAATCAATTAATCATCAAATTTTTTTTTTTATACTGGAATCAAAACCATGACCATGGAAGCCATATTGGAACCTCCCATCCATCTAAGGTGATCCATGGTTCCCCAGCTAATCATCAACTTGATAAGCAAATATCTAATTATTTTGTCTGTTGATGTATGGAATCACACAATCAAATGAAAGTGGATTAAGTTGACAGATGTCCTCTCACTCTCTAAATGTCTAGTCTTTGGGCAAGTTGTACTTCCTTGTACAAGTAACAGATTGTTAGAGGGCGGGGTGTGATTACCCGGTTGTTCCTCCGACGATCAAGTTAGTGGGTGGCTTACGAGGAGAAGTAATAAGAACGCTAGTAGTTCTTAAGTTCAGAGAATAGTGGGAAAAAACTTACCCTGTAATGAAAAATAGTTTTTTTCTTTTATAGTAATGGAATGATTTTAAGATGGTATATTTAGCCGGGCATATGCTTGCGGCCAAGGCAGCTTCAACTTTACTAGTGTCGGCCGAGGAGTGGAGGAGAGGTCATTTCAATTTAATGAGAAGTGATTGGTCATTAGTGCACAGGAGGGGCTCGAGGCCTGAGACGTTCCGTCGTCTTTCTACTCGTATGGTGGTCGAGAAGTACCGTCTTTAGAGTTGCCAGTGCAAGATGTTGACCGATGAGTTAGCCGAGTGGAGTGGTTAAGTAGTCGACTCAGCCGGGAGGTGACACGTAACACCTTTCGGGTCGTCGACAAGTGACACCTTTCAAGTCGTCCTCGTAAGATATCAGTGTGTCAAATCGACCGAGCTGAGCCTCTAATTGTCTTGACGAGCTGACTTAATTATGCATAATATGAGAGTATGAGACACATATCTACCGTCCATGGGTGATTATTTTCCCACACAAGTTTAGTACAATATTTGTACTTCTTACTCAAAATTAGCCCCTCTACTACACGCTTCCCAGATCTATTTGGAACTTGCACCAAGTAAAATGCCCTTCTGATAAAATTTTAATTTCCACCATTTCCATCCCAAGACTAGGAAATTGGAGCTTGGAAATCTCCAAAATTTTAATTTCCACCATTTCCATCCCTAAAACTTACCCATAACATCTAATAAAATATTATTTTCATCCAACAACTCATCCACATCATCCAATAAAATATTATTTTCATCCAACAACTCATCTCATATCATCCAATAAAATAAACCAAATAAAAGAAACGGGTCACATCATCCAACTCATCTCATCTCCATCCCATCTCATCTTTAAAAATAACTCACATCATCCAATAATATTGTGACAACTCATCTCATCTCATCTCCATTTCATCTCCACCCATTTCCTCCAAAAAAACAAGGAAATTGATTTCCTTAAGTGTGGGTCACATCATCCAATAATATAATGACAACTCATCTCATCTCATTTCATCTCCTATTTTTAAGAATGAACCAAACACAAGAGAAGAACCTATTTATAAGAAATATGTTTCCTATTCTTTGATTTCCTTCTTTTTTAACCAACCAAACAACCTCAAAACAACTTTTCTTAAAAAAATACCCACATCATCCAATAATATTGTGACAACTCATCTCCTATTATTTGATTTCCTTTTTTTTTTAACCAACCAAACAACCATAAAACAATTTTTTAAGAAAATAGGTTTCCTATTCCTTGATTTTTTTTTTTTTTTTTTTTGGCAAGCAAACAGCACTACCTTGGGCCAAAGGTGGAGATTGTTGGTTGTTTTGTTGGCCCAATAAGTTGGCCCGTTACTCTAAATTCCCAGCTCCCCCACTTGTGCCCTAGCTCCTCTAATTTCTTCACCTACCCGATGGTTCTCACCTCCTCCTAAGTCTTCGTGATCTGATGGCCGCCGCTTGCTCCCATCCGTAGGTCGGCTCCCTCCTTCGTTTTCTTCCCTAGCTCCTCTCCCGTGTCGGCTGCCCCCTTCCCTATATATGGGTAATGGGTTGGTAGTAGCTCGGTAGAGGGATGAAGAATTTGCACACAATAACAAACCCCCCCACCCGCCGCTTTCTCCGCCTCTTCTTCCCAGAAACCAGATGCCCGGCCGTCATGAAAACCGAGACCCTAATCGAGGGCCTCTGGGCCCTGGCGCGACGAGGCCAACACGCTCACAAAAACCTCCCCTTAGCAATCAAGTGCCTCGAATCAGCCCTCCAGTCCAATGTTTCCCTCCTCCCCTTAGCTGAGATCGCACCCGCCACTCCCGGCTCGTCCCACCTCCTCTTGACCCGCACCCACAACCTCACCCACGCCAAGTCCCACCTGGAGCGGGCCCACCTCCTCCTCACCCGCATCCCCTCCTCCCTTCCCCTCAAACTCCGGGCCCACTCCCTCCTCTCCCACTGCTACCACCTCACCGGCGCCATCCCCCCCCAGAAGCACATCCTCCTCAAGGCCCTATCCCTGATCGAGACGGAGGATGAGGAGGAGGGCTCGATGCTGATGTGGACCGCGAACTTCAATGCGCAGCTGGGGCTTGATGAGCCCGGAGAAGGTAAAAGCTTCTTCTTCTTCTTTTTTTCCGGGGTGCTCGTCTCTAGCTTGAAGTTATTTTTTCAGTTTTTATGTTGTTACCAGCAGTAGAAGAATTATGGGTTAGCAGTACTTGTCCAAAATGTCTAGTGCGGGCGTAAATGGGGCTACCATCTCTCTCAAAATTGATGTTACTAATTGTTGAAGATCAGGGATTTTGAGGAGTATCGATACGAAATGTTTAGTTTATTTGTAAATTGAGCGAAAATTATCTATCGAGTAATTGTTCCGAATTCTGTGTGTGGCCATGTAGCTTGATTTGACTTATTTACGAAACATCTTAGGAGGAGAACTTTCGAATACTAAATGGAGCTTGAAATGTGAAGCTTAGAGCTTTTCCTCTCATTTGTATACTTTATTTGGGATCCTATCAACCTTGCGTGTAGGTTCCTTTGATTAGATTTAGGCCCATAAATTTTATCATTTAGGAAGTTTTAGCTTTTTCTAGATATTAGTCCCTTAAATCTTCAATAATTACATCGTGCTCCCTCAGATCTTGAAATTTGCTTATTAGTATCTCAACTCTTGTAGGGGCTGGAAAAATGATCCGTGAAGTTAAATCGCTTTAAATTTAAAGGGAATATTCTATCAAATCTAACTGGTGGAGGTAAAGTGATGATTTTACCCCTCTATTATGTTTCCCAACTCATTTCTTAATGGGTAAACCCATTACTTGCTTAAAAATACCAAACCTGCTTGAGTTCTTCTTCTCCAATGATAATAAAAGAACCTTAACTCAAAGTTGAGCTTCACAAAGGTTTGAACATCAAAGAGAGGGGTAGTTGGGTGATTGCAAGTGTTGGGTTAGGAGCTAACCCAATCATAAGTAGTCTTTTTAACTTAAATATTAACGGAGGGACCATTTTGCAAGACCCTATAGTATTAAGAGACTAATACACAATTTTCAAGATTTAAGGGACTAGGATGCAATTATTGAAGATTTAAGAAACTAATATCTATAAAACCCTATATCATTATTGTAAGATCTTGGCAACAATTGTAGGCAAGGGAGGCACTACCTGCAATCACTTTTGACTGCTATCTAGAGGTCGAACAGTCTGGCTCCTATCAAGGAACACCGTTTTGGTACTCCCTTTTGATTAGGGAAGAGTCTAGATGTAGAAAGTAGAGTACGATAGGATTTTCTTTAGAGGACTTCATTCTTCACTGCTTCTTTCTATAATTTGAAGAACCAAATTTAAATGAACCCTCTCTGATGGCTGTTGTGAAATTTTCCTTTATTCTGACAGAAGCAGCAATGTGTTGGCATTTTCTTCTATCATGAGCTGCTGCAAACCTTCTACCTGATGAGAATCTGTGATTATAAGGGTGCTACCAAGCACGTGGACAAGCTGGATGCCGCCATGAAGGCTGACCAACAGAAAGTTCGGATCATCAAAGAACTGAACACACAGCTTGATTCTGTGAATCAAAGCCTATCACAATCTAATTTACAGCGGAAAGAGAGGTCGGCGCTTTCTGATAAAAAAGAACAGCTCGAGGAGAAGTTTAGAGCTGCTACTGGGTTGGATCCTCATGATAAGCCTTTAGATTTTGAAGATATGTTGCAATTGGCACCTCCACCATTGGATGGAGAGTGGCTTCCAAGGAGTGCTGTTTATGCCCTTGTAGATCTGATGACCGTCATGCTTGGGAGACCAAAAGGGGTGTTTAAAGAGTGTGGAAAGCGAATACAATCAGGATTAAAATTGATTCATGGTGAGCCTTTGTAATATTCCTTTTGTTCTTTGCTACTATATTGGTCAGTTTCCTTATTTTTTTCCTGTATCAGATTCGACCTTGATATACAGGAGAAGCATGTTCTGTTAATTCCATGGACAATTTATCTTACTAACTGATTGTTGCATCATGTGCAGATGAATTGTTGAAATTGGGTATTTCTGATGGCGCAAGAGGTAGCATTTCTAGTTTTTAAAGATTTCTATTTGTTTGTTTAGGTTACGAATTAGAATGTTATATTATGTAAGAACATCATCCGACATGACACCTGATATTTACTACATATTCCTGATATACCCGATTTTCTCAATCCGATACTTATTTTGGTCGTCTGATGTTTACGCGATATCTGATATTTAAAACAATGGCTCTACATAAGCGTACAGCACCACCGACACAGAAACCCAAACCCTCCACACATGCACAACCCAACACACACCAAAAAAGGCCCATTAAGCACTTAAGGTTGGGTATTGCGTTTATGGTCTAATGGGTCCATTCAAACCCATAAAATAAAAATGAACACCTAAGTATGTTATTTAATTAAGTTCATGAAAAAAATCTTTTCTTGATCTATGTGTGCAGTATTATTTCCATCAATGTTTTGCATAATGCATATTGTAATACATCCACTGTAACTATAAGTTGGTTGGAACTGAGATTGTAGAAATTTTCATGCTCTTGCTGCTATACTAGCTCCAGTTTTTGTGCGATTCTATCATGCCAGATATATACAGATTTATTATGTGTACAGATATTTTAGATACTATCAATTCTATTGCATAGAGTGTTGGTTTCTTATGAAATTTTCTACAGTTAATCAAAATCAAATAAAGTCGATGCAAAATGTAAGACAGACTTCTGCATTATGATTTTTTATTTATTGGCCTGTTAATAACTTCTGCAATAAGAAGAATAGTATGTCCTGCACTTATGAGCATGGCGTGTATCACTTCTCAATATTAAACATTTTTTCCTTCTTTGTTTCTTGAACATCATCTTTAAGTTTTTTTTATTCTTGATGCGACAGTAATCATCATCATCACAGTAATCCCAGATCCTGTATTATATAAACTATAAAACATGGCCTTACTTCTTCGGATTATAAAGTGCTTTCCTGCTTTGTTTCTTATTATTTGACTGATTTTTAATGCTTATATCAAATTGTGGCATAATATGTAGAAGTAGACTTACAACACTCAGCTATCTGGATGGCTGGTCTCTACTTGATGCTGCTAATGCAATTCCTTGAAAACAGAGTTGCAGTAGAGCTTACTCGTTCAGAATTTGTTGAAGCCCAAGAGGTAAAGTATGATGGAACTAATTCGTTAAAACAAACAGAAATTGTTTTCCTGGTTTCAAGAGATCTTGTGCTGAGCTAGAAATCTATGGTTGGATGGTTATTCTAGTTAGTAGTCACCTCATGCATTATAAATCTTTCTTCTGATTCCAAGTTGTTCTTTGTTACAGGCTTTAGTACATATGAGAGATTGGTTTATTCGATTCCCAACAATATTGCAAGGCTGTGAATGCATGATCGAGATGCTTAGAGGGCAATATGCACATTCTGTTGGTTGCTTCCATGAGGCTGCTTTCCATTTCATAGAAGCTACTAAGGTTTATCTCAATGTTGAAAGTAATGATAACACATTACGTAATGCTTTGCCTTCTGTCACTGTTATAAATAGCAGTAAATAGCGTCGCTAATAGCGTTAGCAGTCCCTTGCCGCTACGCTATAGCTCAATAGCGGTAATATATTATGGAATATGCACTTTCCGCTCACAAAAGCAGCCAATAACGCACCATAACGGTGGATAGCGGGAGATTGTGGACAAAATCCACTTTTTGACCGCTATTTAAAAGCAGTTTGAGGTTTAATTGTTTAAAATTAAACCCTACCAGCAACCACTGCATCCCACTGCTTCCCGCAATTTTCGGCGTATTCCCGCCACCTCCATAGCCTCCGGAACCTCCCTCAGCACTTTCTCTCATCTCCTCTCGCCGTGAGCTCCTACTACTGCAGTCCCCTCATCGCTCAGTTCATCTTCTCAAAGACGACGACTCTTTTGCTCCTCCAATCGTCTTCGATATTATGTAACGGTTATATGTCTATTTCATGTTTAGGATCTCTTTAAATCATCAAATAAGCATTTTTAGGTTTTTCAGATTTTTTCTTTAATTTTTTTTTTCTGAATATTCATATATATATCAAAATTAGACCGCCATTTGACTTTGTGTTTTTTACTGCTATTTTGTCGCAACAACCCCTAATAGCTTTAACGATGTCTCACCGCTACGTCGATGTTATCCGCTATCGGCAACCTTGCCTTCTGTTAACAGTGATGGGAAAAAAATGCAAAGAAACATAACACATAACATAGAATATTTTGTTTATTAAAAATTTAGATATTTCATAAATACAAACTATCCGTAATGACTTTAATAGTTAATATCATTAAAAATTTCAAACATGAAGGAGAATTGAAAAAGTTACAAGAGTAAGAATTTAGAATACTTCATCTTCATAGAAAAGAGCTGGGATTTAGAAGTTGGACGGGCATTAAAGGTGAAGATGGGGGTAGAATTTTCTTAATCGGCGAGAGGAGATATGGGAGCTGAGGAAAGACCAGTCTTGTAGTCGGCAAAGATAAAGGGTGAGGTGAGCCTTGTCGTTGGCAAGAGGTTTCGTCTTCATCGAAAGGTTTCGTCTTCATCGAAGGCGCAAGAGGAAGAGGAGATTGAGAGGTTTCTTCTTGAAGGAGTGTGGGAGGAGATGAGGGAGGCACTGGAGATGGGGTTAGGGGATACCTAGAGTTTTTCACGTGAATGAACTTAAGGTTGGGGTATACAATTAAGAACTTATTTTAGTTACTGTGATACTAATTTGGGTGGTGGAGATATCGCCACATATCCATATATGATCATCAATGTAACTCAATTTAACAAATGTTAAATAACGCATAATGTAATGTGGATAAAACGCGTTTTTTGATGTTATTTTCTGTGTTAAATGCAACATGGGTTTTGCTTGAGTTTTATAACACTTTTGTTTGTTAGGTGTTGAAACGTGTTAAAACGGGTTTCGAAATGAGTTTTTTTCTACATTGGTTTGTCTATTCATTATCATTTCATGTTTGTAATTTATCGAAAATATTGCACTAATTTGAATGCTTCTACTTCTGTTCTGACAAGAAAAATGTTGGTGTTTCAGCTCACTGAAAGCAAATCGATGCAATCTATGTGCCAAGTTTATGCAGCTGTGTCCTATATTTGTATTGGTGATGCAGAATCATCAACAAAGGTGAATTTTCCTTCTAGAGAGAATTTACTCATTCTCCTTCAAGTTGTACAATCCCTTCTACTGTCATTATTTGGTTGAAACAAATAGACTTATCCTTTGACCGTTTTTTTCTCTCCTGCAGGCACTAGATTTAGTAGGACCTGTCTACAGAATAATGGATTCTTTTGTTGGTGTGCGTGAGAAAACCTGCATTGTATTTGCCTATGGACTTCTATTGATGAGGCAGCATAATCTACAGGAGGCACGGTATGGATATTAAATGCATCTTAAGACATTCAAATTATAGATTATAATCTCAGATTTTATCTGCTGTGGACAAGCGTATAAACCTTGAGATCTAGGTGCTAATTCCAACTAATTTTGCAGCCTTAATTTGATCACATTTTCTCATTGATAAGTATTCCTGAAGAATTAACAATTTGAAATTTTGGCATGCTATTGCTGTTAAGAAGATTGTGCAATGCATTCATGATGTTGAACTCCTGCTCTTATATTTATTGCAATGAGCTTATCTTGCCTTTAGTTCTTTAAGCACTAGACTAGCATTTGTAGAGGTCTCCATCATATTAGACCTTGATTGGTGCTAGGAAATCAAGGACATCGACACAGGAAATGGAGAAAATGTTATGGACATGTTAAGGATTCAATGTTAAAAATAATGATAATGTATAATGTAACCTCATTTCCGGATAACCTGAAATGCAAAACACCGTAATGCATAATGTGGTTATGTGTTTTCTTATTTATTTAAATATTTAATAAATCAAACATATTGGCAATGATTTTATTCAATAAAATTATCATAGTTTTCAATTGTAATATCACATCATCAAATTTCACTCAACAAAAATTCGTCATAAATGCTTAACTGTCAATCCAAGTGCATGTGTTGAAGAATACGATCGTATATAATTGTAAGTCTCTCGGTAGCTTAAAGCACAATGCATAATGTAGTTTACATGTTTTCATCATTACTTTAAAATTATAAGAGATATTTTAAGAATTAGGAATAGAATATCAAAATACAAAAGTATTTTGATAAAACTTCTTTAATTTAATACGAGCTAAATATTTAGTAACAAGTACCGCAATTCAAATATATAATCATTAATCACATTTAAATCTCCTTCATAATTTCACATTCATTTTATTAGTCATATTCATAATATAAGAATGACATGATAATATCACCAAAATAAGCCATGTGGGCTTAACACATAGTTCAAGTTAATTACATAATTACTTCAAGTTTTAAGAATACCCTTATGCCTCTAAAATTGTTTATACTTATACATATATTATATTGTAATACCACATTATATTGAAATAACTTGGTTATATTGTAGAAACACATGTTTTATTTTAATGACATAGAGTAATGATGTTCCAGAGTAATTTCAACATTTGAGGTCTATTAGGTTACATAATGCAAAAATGAGCCAACAATGGTTAAGATAAATAATTTTAAATTTAGGACATGAATGAAGTATTTATAAATATTTGTTGTACAAAAGAAGATTTCAAGATTTACATATAGGGATAAGTGAGATGTTAGATTACTTTATCATCGCCTAAATATGCTGAAGAAATAAAATCTTCTTTCTAGAAAACCTGCCTAATTTAGCTACTTCATGGTAATTTGTTGTAGATGGCGTAAAAAATCTTGCTTATAAACATATAATGGAAAGCGAAGTGATGCTTCTACTGGAATATTTCAGAGAATGTAATTGGAAAAACAAGTCTTATGTTTCTTTTTGCATTACAAGGTGATTAGCCTCCATGCTGTTGCTAAATTTTGTTTTGGGTTTATGCAAGATGTGTTGTGAATTATAGTATTTTTTAGAGATATCATTTTTTTGGTAATTAAGAAATTTTATTATCAAAAGTGAGTGTTTGAGTACTAGCCCTTACTTAGGTATATCTAAGATAAATAGGTATATCTGAGATGAAAAAACTTTTAGAAGGTGCAACTGAAGAACATATCTTTCCTTTACGTATTACACAATAAATGATGTTTTGATCTAATGCAAAATGCGTTGTGGATTGTAACAATATTGGAGATATTACTTGTTTTCATAGTGCATATGACATAAATGATTATAATGATATTCTATATAATGTCTTAGAATAAATCATCATTGGTAAAGAATAATTTTAGTGTTGCTCCTTTGTATGATGGAACAATTGTTTTCTTTCAGATGAGTTTCGAAATTTTTTCAAAATAGTGATCGGCTAAAAAAGTTTCATCGTATAAAGAATAGCAGCAAATATGTTACCTATAATAATTTTTCTAACAATTGAAGGTTGTTGGTAAAAAATTATCTTACAGGTAGTATCAAAGATCGCTAACCATTTCTGGTGACTCAAGCATAACATCTTTCCCCAAGCCCTTGTCATTTCTTGGATATAATGATATTTTGTTTGTCAATTTGTATGGGAAATAGAGAGGGGGTTCATAAGATGTACTTGGTTTCATGGAGTATGTGTTTGCCTAAAAACTATGGTGGTCGGGGTTTTATACAAACTAAGAGTTAGAATATACTATGATTACTTAAACTCAAATGAAATATATATGAGAAGGCCTCCTTATAGATTAGATGGGTTCATGATCAATATCTGCATCACAACTTTACATGGACTTCTAAACCATTGATTCTTATTTTTGGAGGAAGTTGCTGGCCATTAAAAATTGGCTTCGTAGTCATTTTAGGAATGTCGTAGGGGTCGTTGCTCATACTAGGAGTTGGGTGCTAAATGATAGAATGAAAATATCCCTTGCTTATAAAGATTTATATGCCAATTTGAGTGAGGTCGCTTGGAAGAATACTATATAGCATCGACTCTCATACCCTAGACATAGTTTTATTTTGTGATTATCTTGTTTCAATAAATTGCAAACCCAAGATATGCTCAGAGTAGACCCATTTTTATGGCAAATTGGAGTAGATTGGTTTGCTTTAATTGTAAGGGAGGGGGATTTTAAGAGTAGTACGCTTAGAGCCTCTTGCAGCAACTATTTATCATCTTTGGATGGAGAGGATCAACAAAGTAATTTGAATCCAAATGTGCTGGTGAAGAAACATGTCTTGGTTGTTTCAAAGTTTAAGACTCCTCTCCAATTTAAATCTTTACATGTTATGTTTGGTTTTTTTAGTTTTGTTGTCTTTATGTTCGCTGTTTATCTCAGAAATACCTGAGTAAGGGCTTGTACTTAAACACTCACTTTTGATAATAAAGTTTTTCTTAATTACCAAAAAAATGATGTCTCTAAGAAATTGCTATATTTCACAACACATCTTGCATAAATCCAAAATAAAATTTGGTAGTTACATGGAAGCTGATCACCGTGTAATGCATAAAGATGCCTAGATTTGCCAATTGCATTCTCTGAAAATATTCCATCAAAAGTAATGCATGAAAATATCCCTTGCTTATAAAGATTTATATGCCCATTTGAGTGAGGTCGCTTGGAAGAATACTACATAATGTCAGCTCTCATACCCTAGACATAGTTATTTTGTGGCTACCTTGTTTCAATAAATTGCAAACCCAGAATACACTATGTAGACCCATTTTTATCGGAAATTGGAGTAGATTGGTTTGCTCTAATTGTAAAGGAGGGGGATTTTAAGAGCATATTGCTTAGAGCATCTTGCAACAACTATTTATCATTTATGGATCAACAAAGTAATTTAAATGTGCTGGTGAAGAAAGTCAAGGTGGATGTCTTGGTTGTTTCAAAGCTTAAGACTCCTCTCCAATTTAAATCTTCACAGGTTATGTTTGGTTTTTTAAAGTTTTGTTGTCTTTATGTTCGTTGTTTATCTCAGATATACTTGAGTAAGGGTTTGTACTCAAACACTCACTTTTGATAATAAAGTTTTTCTTAATTATCAAAACATATTGTCTCTAAGAAATTTATATATTTCACAACACATCTTGCATAAACCCAAAACAAAATTTGGTAGCTACATGCATTGTTATAAATAACGGTAAATAACGGTGCTAATAGCGTTAGCGGTCCCTTCCCGCTACGCTATCGCTCAGTAGCGGTGATATACTACGAAATATGCACTTTTCACTCACAAAAACAGCCAATAGTGCGCCATAGCGGTGAATAGCGGACGATTGTGGGTAAAATCCGTTTTTCACCGATATTTAAAAGTGGTTTGAGGTTTAGTTTTTTAAAATTAAACTCGACCCGCAACCACTGCATCCCACTGCCTCTTGCGATTTCTAACGTATTCTCATTGCGTCCCACAGCCTCCGGTACCGCCCTCAGTATTTCTTCTCACATCCTCTCGTCGTGAGCTCCTCCTGCTGCAATCCTCTCACCGCTCAGCTCATCTTCTCGAAGACGTTGACTTTTTGACTCCTCCAGTCGTCTTCGTATTATATGATAGTTACATATCTATTTCATGTTTATGATCTCTTTAAATCATCAAATAATATTTTTAGATTTTCTAATTTTTTCCATAATTTTTCTTATTTTTTTGAATAATTATACATATTTAAATTAGATCGCTATTTTACTTTGCACTTTTTACTGCTATTTTATCGCAATAACCCCAAATAGCTTTAGCGATGTCTCACCACTACGCGACGCTATCCACTATCGATAATCTTAGTTACATGAAAGCTGATCACCGTGTAATGCATAAAGACGCCTAGATTTTCCAACACATCTTGCATAAACCCAAAACAAAATTTGGTAGCTACATGGAAGCTGATCACCATGTAATGCATAAAGATGCCTAGATTTGCCAATTGCATTCTCTGAAAATATTCCATCAAAAGTATTGCATGAAAATATCCCGTGCTTATAAAGATTTATATGCCTATTTAAGTGAGGTCGCTTGGAAGAATACTATATAGTGTCGGCTCTCATTTCTAGATAGTTATTTTGTGGATATCTTGTTTTAATAAATTGCAAACCTAGGATACGCTTAGAGTGTATACCCATTTTTATGGGAAATTGGAGTAGATTGGTTTGCTCTAATTGTAAGGAAGGGGGATTTTAAGAGCAGGTTGCTTAGAGCCTCTTGCAGCAACTATTTATCATATATGGATTGAAAGGATCAACAAAGTAATTTGAATCCAAATGTGCTGGTGAAGAAAGTCAAGGTGGATGTCTTGGTTGTTTCAAAGCTTAAGACTCCTCTCCAATTTAAATCTTCACATGTTATGTTTGGTTTTTTTAAATTTTTTGTATTTATGTTCGCTGTTTATCTCAGATGTACTTGATT